GCACCCCTCTGAGGATTTATATCCAATACCTTATGGATCCATCCTTGTTGCAAAGATGAGGAAGTTGAGGTTCAGAGAGGTCCGGCAGCCAGGCCAAGAATATAATGCTAGGGGTGAGTGGGGCAGGAATTCAAGTTCAGGGAGACAGACTGCAGATCTGTGCCCCACACCTTGTGCAGGAACCAGTTCCCAGGCAGTGAAACTCTAAAGCCAGCCCCAGCGGGCCGAAACTCAACCGCAGAGAGCTGGCTCTCAGCCCCCTTGCTGGCTCCCTTCTTTGGTCTCAGCCCCACCCTGCCACCCCCATTTCCTTTCCTGGCCCTGGGGCTCTGCCTCTTCCCCAAACCTGCTCTGCTACAATTTCTTCCAGGTTCCCACATCTGTAAAATGGGAATAAAGAGAGTGCCTGTGTCAGAGGGGTGCTGTAAGGATCCGGGGAGATGCCCAAGAGCTGGAAGCCTGGCACACAGTAGGTTCTCATAAATATTAACCGCCACCAATTTATAGTTTTTCTGTCTTTAAGATTTTACCACCACCGTTTACATAGTGTCTCTGAAGTCCTGTGAATTAAGCCGAGAGCGAGAGCATTATCCACATTTGATGGTTGAGAAGTGAAGAAGCAGTTGGTCCAGGGTCACTCAGCCAGAAAGAGTGGGACTTGACTCTGGGCCTCCTGGCCATTCTTTGTGGGAAGATGAGTGAATCATATAGTCAATATTTATTACTCACCTTCTGCGTGCAAAATCAGGCCCTGGGAGCTAAGGGACATTCAGGGAGCGTTCCCACCTATCCTTTGAGGTTGAAAGTGCAAGAGACTGGTAAAGGGGAGGCAGTCAAGGAAGGCTTCCTGGAGGAGTTGAGGTTTAAGCTGGGCCTTGAAGGACCAGCAGAATATGTAGACTGGAGTAAAGGAGATGGCAGAGATGTAAACACAGCAGCCACTCCTTCGAGGTTCCTTATGAACCAGGCTCTATGCCGACAGCTTTCCATGCATCGCTTCATGAAATCTCCCCAGAATCCGACGAAGTGGTTGTGACTGGGAATGAGAAAAGCTCGGCTCAGAGCGTTTACAAAACTTGTCTAGGGTCACACAGCTAGTAACGTGAGAGGGCCTGGGTTGAAACCCAAGGCTGTCTACTGCCAAGTTTGGGCTCTTAATCATCACACATTATTGCCACCTCGGCCTCACTATCTGAGGATGAGGACGAGGTATTCAGCTGGGGACGGACTCTGAAGGGCTGTAAATGCCAGGCTCAGACATGCAAAAGTCACACAGCACCAGGCGGGGTCGGCAGCCCTGGAATTCAGCAGCAGCCATTCGATAGCCAAGGTCACTTCTCTGAGCCTCCCCATCTCTAAACTGGAGAGAAGAGGAACATAAATGTATTATCAACGGTGAAGGTTTTGAATGAGGGAGGGAGGCTCTGGTAACAAAAGGATTGTTTAGGAGAAACCTGGAGATATTCTAATATTTACTGAGTGTTGGGCTCTGGGAAGACAACTGTGAACAAGACAGCTCTGCACTCTGGACCCCCACCCACCCCCACCCATGCCTACAAGGGGCAGGGCACAGCTTGGGAGAGTTGGGGAGGAACCTTTTACTGGAACAAACAAGGGCTCAGGAGCTGGCCTGTCCCGGATTAGACTGCTAGTTCTCAAATCAGCAAATCTCTCCAAGGTACCCCGCCTCTCAGACTATGTCTCCATCTTCACCAGGAAGATCCTCATTCCTCTTTCCAGGATTGCTGGGTTAAATAAAATAAAACAATACAGCCCTGGCCGGTGAGTTCAGTGGTTAGAGCACCGGCCTGCACATCAAGGGCCGTGGGTTCGATTCCAGTCAGGGGCACCTACCAGGGTTGCAGGGTGCAGGAGGCAACCACTAGGCAATCAGTCCACGTGTCTCTCTCCCCATGCCTCCCTCGCTCCCTTCCACTCTCCCTGAAAAGCAATGGAAAAAATACCCTTAGGTGAGGATTAACCAAAAAATAAATTAATAATAATAATAACAACAACAACAAATACATGCAATTATCTAGCAGGCGCTCAATGGATGTTACTATCCCCCTATTAAGAGGTATAACTGTTAGGCTCCGTCCCTCTCCTGCCAAGAAAGAGAACAGATTCCTGGCTTTCATTTTAGTGAGGAAAAGGATAGGCATGCAACCATGCTAGCAGAGCAGCCATGCCACCTAACGAACAGTCCTCCAGCTGGGTCCTGTGCAGCCTCTGGGCTCAGGTCAGGACTGTTCCCGCCCCACCCCCAGGGACCCGGGCGCACCCCCGAGCGCTCCACACCCCGGCCGCTCCTTCTTTCCCCCAGGACCGCCCTCCTGGTCTGCGCAGCGGGTGTGGCTGTCCCTTTAAGCAGCAAAACTCCTGCTGCAATCGCCGACCGGGGACCGGTCCTTTCCGGAGGGTGGAGCCTATATTTGTTGCAGCGACCAACGGAAGCGCGGCATTTTCCGCGGGAGATCCGAATTTCGCGGCACGCAGTTTGGCGCTAAAAAAAAAAGAAGAAAAAAAAAGTGGCGGAGAAAGACGCGGGTGCTGCACAGCGAGGCGAGAGCGAGTCGGTGCCATCGGTCCCCTCCCCGTCCGAGCGCATCGCCTCTCCGTGGAGCCCGCGGGCGCGCCGGAGACCCCTCCCCGGAGCCCGCCGGACCCCGGGCGCCGAGGCCCTCCGGGGCGTGGGGCCGAGCCGGGTCGCGGCCGCCCTCGGGGCGGGGCAGCCCCTGGCGCTGCGGCCGCCGCTATCTCCACCGCGGGGCGACCTCCGAGCCGGGATCTCCCAGCGCCGCTCCGCTGGGCCGCGGGCCAGGAGGGGAGGGTCCGGCCTTGCCCCGCCGGCGTCCATTGGCGGCCTCCCCGGGCCTCCGCTCCATGCCCCGGGCCGGGTGAGCCGCCGCAGGCTCCGAGCGCGCCGGTGCCCGCGGGCGCGCCTGGTGAGGGGGCTCCGCGCTGGCCATGCTGCGAGGGCCCCGCGCCCCGGCCCCGGCCGCTGCGCTGCCCCTGAAGGGGCTGCCCGCCTTGAGCCCCACCGAACTGTGGCCGCCTGGCCTCGGCAGCCCCCAGCTCTGCCCGGTCACCACCGCCTACTACACCTCGCTGTACCCGCAGACTGTGCCCCCCGCTACGGTGCCCGGCACCTGCCTGGACGCCACTCCCCACGGACCTGAGGGCCAAGCTGTGCGATGCGTGCCGGCTGGCCGGCTGCCGGTAATTCTGGGGACCCCGTGCACCTCTCCCCGCTGTGCTTTCCGGGTGTGGGAAAGGAGGGAGGGGCGCCTGGGGCCCAGTGTGAGTGAAGCTGGTTGAGTCTGGGAAGGGGGAAGGGGAGCTTTCAGATTCCAGAACCATCCAGGGACCCCCCTGGAGAAGAGCCCTTCATTTTCAGGCATGGGGTGAAATAACCTCATCCACCGAATGGAGTGGAATGAGCACGACTGGGGGTGTGGAGACCCAACCCACCATCCCGAGTGCACCCTGTGACCTTGGGGAAGTCCAGGGAGCCAGCCGTGCGTCATTCATTCATTCTTCTTCATTCATTGTTGGGCCCAGAAACCAGTACTGGGCACCTGCTGTGCTGGCACAGAGCTAGGCCTGCGGATGCTGTAGGGACTTTAAAGTGTGTGTGTGTGGGGGGGTGGGGGGGAGGTGGCGGTGGGGGTCTCTCAGGTCCAGTATGGCTTGGAGAGAATCCAAATTTCCCATCCAGCCAACTCCTTCCCCATTATCTACCCTGGGTGCTCCCCCAGGCCCACTTTTCCCTCCCAGACAGCCAGTAGCAGGTGCAAGTTGGGGGCAGCTCCCTGTTCAGATTGACTCTTCCCTCCTCGAGCCCCCAAGCCTGCTGCCAGGGAGGGCCCAAAGTGAGGTGGCATGAGGCACAGGATGTGTTTTGTGGGAGTGGAATCCCTGGATGGAGTCCATGAGAATCTAAACAACCATCCGGTGAGGGTGGAGTGGGAAAAGCCCAAGGGGAATGCGAGGGGGTGGTGGGTGGGGGGACTTGGAGAGCCTGGTTTCTGGTTTTAACTGCCACTAATTCACTGTGTGTCCTTGGACAAGTCCTAGCCCCAGCCTGGGCTTCAGTTTCATTTTCTGGAATATGTGTGTGTGCTAACTCATCTCAGGCCACTTCCAGCTCCAGGTCCTGGGTTTTGGAAGCAGGCCCCAGGGAGGGGGTGTTGTGGGTTGGCTTAGTTGTGAGTGGTGAATACGGTCAGGTACAGGGGTCAGGCCATGCCCTGGAGCAGCGGTTCTCAGCCTGTGGGTCGCAACCCCTTTGGCGGTCGAACGACCCTTTCACAGGGGTCGCCTAAGACCATCCTGCATATCAGATATTTACATGACGATTCATAACAGTAGCAACATTACAGTAATGAAGTAGCAATGAAAATAATTTTATGGTTGGGTCACAACATGAGGAACTGTATTTAAAGGGCCAGAAGGTTGAGAACCACTGCCCTAGAGGCATCTGGTCAGACCTGTGCCAGTCAACAGGCACATAACCCTCGCCATTGCTGGATGCAGGCAGGGCCCCAATTCTCTGCTACTGGAATCATGCTTTGCCCATTTTCAAGGCCTTCATCTTCCCAGAGTCCCTTCCTGCCTGCCATGTCTAACGAGGAGGAAGGAGAGCTATTTTCATTTTACAGGCCAAGCAGCCAAGGATAACTAGGGCTAGGTGTCTATCTTGTGTTCAGCATTTTACAGCCTAAACCAGATTTGAACCCTGTGAAGTAGATGGCACTCGTAGCACCCTGTCACAGGGGGAAATTGAGGCTCCTGTCCAAGGCCATCCGGGGATGTGTGTGACCCCCGGGCAGGTGACCCTCCGCCTTCTCGGAAGACTGCTTCCCCCAGGAAGGGGCCTAGTGGCTGGCCCCGTCTCCTCTGGCCAGCTGCGTACAGGCACCCAGGCGGAGTTTCGGTAACAGCTGTGGTTTTGAACTGCTTCCCTCCCAGAGGAGCCTGAGTGCATCTGTTTGTACCTCCCTCCCAGAGGGGCTCCGTAATCACAGCCAGAAGGGCTCTCTTTCACTGAAAGCCTGCTGTGTGCCAGGCACTGCTCGTCACATTCGTTATCTTGGTCAAGATGCCTGGGATGAGGCCTCTTACGGATGAGGAAACTGAGCGAAGCCGCCTGTCCAAGTGACAAGCCAGGAGGTGGGAGAGCCTCCTTGCATCCGACCACCCTAAAGGCTGACCAGGCCCAGCACCCCCTCTCCTGTCAGTTCTCAGATGCCTAGTGCCCACAGCCCTGTGGGCAGGCCTTGGCCCCCTGCTTACTCATTTTACCAGGGTGTGACCTGGAGCAGCTCCAAACCCAACCCTGGGTGTGGCCGCTTGCTTTGTGGCCAGGCTGCAAAGTGCAGGCTGAGCAGGATTTGTCAGTGAGCTGCTGTTTAAAGGGAACCTCAGGCACTGCCCAGAGGTGGCAACCACGTTCAAAGGCGGGATGAAGGCCAGAGCCCAGGACTCTGCGCTCACTGTCCAGTGCTTTTGTCTGTGGCGTCCTTACTCCAGCCAAGCACACTGCATCATCGCCTTTCAGCCCCGAGGGAACCTGGGAAGAGGGGGGGGTTCTGCACTGTTCTCCTTTCCCTTTAATTTCTCGATATTTTCCAAATTTCCTCTGAGAACCGTGAAAGAAAAGGAACATTTTAACGAACAACCCTACAAGACGGGTCGGAGGAGGAAATAAATGTCGGCTCAGAGAGTCCCAAGCTGGGATCTGGAAGTGAGGCTCTCGAGCAAGGCCTTACACTTGCTCCTACCCGCAGCGTCTAACTTAGGGCTTGGGGCTGAGGAGAGGCCTGGCTCTCCTCCCTGTGTGACCTTGGGCAGGTCGCTTCTCCTCGCTCCTCCTCGCCTTGCTGGGTGTGTCTAGCAGGCTCTGGCCTGAGAAAGGAGCCTGGTCCTCTGCCTTGGGATTGGCTGGGTGGCCTCTAACCTTAACTAGGCCTTTAAGAAACAGCCCCAAGGGCTGCCCACGAGGGTCCAGGTTAGAGCCAAGCTGGCCGCTGGGCGTGGTTCCAGACTTTTGCTCTTGGCACGTCCCTGTCTTTTCAGCTCACCTCTGAACTTTCCCCCTTCGCTGCTCCTGGCGCCGTAGTGATAGCACCTCCCCTGCGTGAGCAAAGCGCTTTGCTGCGCTGTCTCACGGAATCCTGAGCAGAGGTTGAGCAGCTTAGCTCATTTTACAGGTGGGACTCAAGAAGTCAACTGACTTGGCCAGCTAAGAAGCGGGGTGGGAGGGCTAGATGGGGACCCAGGTGCATCTGACTCCACGGCTTGTGCTCAGCCTCTCCTTGGTCCTCATCCTTCTGGGCTTGTCCTCTGCCACGTGTGTTCTGCAGGCTCAGGCCCACCCATGGCTGACCTTGCCCTGGACAATGCATAACGGTGACATGTCCTCGGGTGAGGGACACTTTGCTGCTTAGGGACTTTGAGAGTGCAGGACAAGGGTGAGAGAAGGGAGAGGAAGTGTGTGTGTGTGTATAAAAGTGATGGGGGTAAAAGGGTATAGGCAGGTGTGTGTGTGTGTATGTGTGTGTGTGTGTAAAAGTGATGGCAGGAGAGTATAGGCAGGTGTGTGTGTGTGTGTGTGTGTGTGTGTAAAAGTGATGGGGTGTAAAAAGGATTATAGGGCAGGCAGGTGTGTGTGTGTGTGTGTGTGTGTAAAAGTGATGGGGGTAAAAGGGTATAGGCAGGTGTGTGTGTGTGTGTGTGTGTGTGTGTGTGTAAAAGTGATGGGGGTAAAAGGGTATAGGCAGGCAGGTGTGTGTGTGTGTGTGTGTGTGTGTGTGTAAAAGTGATGGGGGTAAAAGGGTATAGGCAGGCAGGTGTGTGTGTGTGTGTGTAAAAGTGATGGGGCAGGAGGGTATAGGCAGGCCTTGGCCCAAATTCCAGCAGATTCTGAGGGAATGTGTGCGGGATGGAGCGGAGCAGCCTGGTGCATGGCTTTGGAATCAGACAGACCTGGGTTCAAGCTCTGGCTCTGCCCTTTGGCTGTGTGACCTTGGGCACGTGGCTAACCTCTCTGAGTCTCCACTTCTCTTCCAAGAGAGATTGCCAATACTGATGTTGCAGGACCGGTGAGCACATGATAGGCCGGCAAGGTACTCTGTTCAAGGTCCTCCCTCCTTCCCATCTGCAGGGAGAGGGGTTCTTCCTGGTATGTTCTGGGATTCAGCAGGGCTGGCTCCTGTCCGGTAGGGGGTAGGGGGGTGGGGGTGGGGGGATTCTGGCTTGCCCTACTTCTGCCTCAGGGAGAACTCAGCCTGGCTTCCCTTCTCCCTGCCCTTGGCCTTCCTTTTGAGGAATGGATGAAGGATTCTGGGATCAATAACTTTTATCTGGATTGATAAAAAGGCCTTGGAGCTCACCAAGTCTCAGTTACTTCAGCCGTAAGATGAGGATTAGTGGTGTTGGGAAGATTGAGTGAGGTGAGGAATGCGGGGGCACTAGAGGCAAGATGGGGCCAGAGAAGGTCACCTTCCCTAGAATCTAGGGTGTCACTAGCTGGGAGGTTAGTAAAGGAATATTCCAGAGAGACTTAAAGAGGAATGAGCAGGGAGGCGTTTGGATTATGTCCAGGTCTGGGTAGGTGTGGAGGAGAGAAACCGAGGAGCAGTGCTCCTCAAACCAATCCAAGAAGACTTCCTGGAGCAGGCGGGGGAGGGGGGAACTCTGAGGGGAGCTTAGAGCTAGAACTGTCATCGCCTCCCACACCTGTCAGCCCAGCTGTGCTCAGCAGCGGTTAGAAGTCTCCACCCTGCCGAGCATGACCCCACCACCAAAGGTTAAAATAGGCCTCTCTGCTCCAACCAGGGTAAGGGTGACTGGGGGCGGGGAGAGGGAGAAAACGGGCTCAGCGACCCCCAGAAGTGTGTGTGGAGAGGCTGAGATTGGGTTTGGGAGAAGGCACTGCATTTCCCGAACATCCACTGTGCGCTGAGCCACAGGCTAAGCACTCTTTCTGCCCCATTTTACGAAGGAGGAAACAGGTCCTAGGTGGGGAGCATTTCTCCACGTCACACGGCTCCCCTGTGAAGGAGCTGGGAGATGCAAGCCCAGGTCTCTGACCCCCGTGTCCCAGTGCCCCAGTGCCCTAGCCCTGCCCCTGCCCAACCCTAACCAGGAGAGAGGCCCCTTCCGGGCCAGTTCAGCTTCTGGGCCTAATGGGGCCGGGTGGCAATGGGGTGTAGAGGAGCAGATGGGTCTGTGGTTTGATTTCCCCAGCAGGTGTTTCCCAAGCTTGGCAGGAACAGGGAGGGGGAGCAGGGGACCTCAGCTGCTTGTCCTTAAGACACAGGGGAAGGATTCATTGTCTGCCCCTCTCCACAAAGAAAGAATGGCAAATGGAGTCTATTCAGGAGGCCCTGGGCCCTTGAGCTGGAACCCAAACATGGGGTGGGGGATGTTTGCACTGCTTCCCAGTGCGGGCACCTCCCTGGGGTGTGGCACTGATCCAGGAAGTCCCCTGGGCCTGGGTGGATGCCCAGCCCCACCCTGATAAGGGCCAGCTGTGGGGCTGTGATGGGCACCTACTGTGGCTGCACCAGCTGCTTCTGCAGAGGGGGGGGTGCTCTCCCCAGGCTGATGTGGTTTAGGCCCCACCCACCCCTTCCTGCATCATCCTCTGTGCGTGGGGGAAGGGGCAGATGTGGAAGTGACCTTGTGGCCTGTTATTAAGGAACTCTGAGCCCTTGGCCAGACTGGCTTTGGTAGGGTCTCAAGTGCCCTGGGCCTCGGAGGATGGGAGTGTTGTGTGCCTCTCAGAAAATAGGACGTCCTTCCCTTGAAAGGTCACTTTTAAGGTCATTGCTATTTCCTTCCCAAGTACAGTGATGTTTCAGCAGGATTGGTGGTAAACTGAGGCAGGAAGTGGCTGCTGGTGGCCTCAGTGCTTTGGCCCCCAGGTTGGGAAAAGACTGAGGAGGAATGATTCTCAAACTCTGCCTCTCCCTCCCATCTCTCTCCAAGGCCAAAAGGAAGCTGGACCTGGAAGGCATCGGGAGGCCTGCGGTCCTGGAATTCCAGACTCCCAAGGGGAAGCTCATTAGAGTGGATGGCCTCCCCAGCCCGAAAAGTAAGTTGTGCTGATGGGGCATCTGGGGGCAGACTCAGGAGACAGGGGTGGGGTGGGCAGGGGCAGAGGGCAGCAGCCCTGCCCAAATCATCAGGAGGAATATTTGTAGCACACTTCCTGGTGCAGACAACGGTTTCCTGTGTGCTCTCTCACTGGGTCCTGCCAGGTAGGTAGGATCCCCCCTCTTTTACTGATCAAACAACTTGAGACCCAGAGCTAGAGTGTCTTGCCCAAGGTCACACTGCTGGTACGTGAAGTCCGGACGCCCGCCTTGTCTTGTCCTGCTTCTCTCACACTATACACTGCTTGCTCTTGGTTCTAAACATGACGACCAGCGATTTGTTTGGGAACTTACCACTTTTGTTTGTATTTCATTCAATCTGACCTTTTCTAAAAGAGAGAATCCAGTTCAGGGAGAAGCAGGGTGTTCCTCCCACCTGCAGACAGAGCGCTAACTAAGGGGGGCAAAGGGGAGTGAAGCTCGGATTAACCCCACCCCAGCCACCTCAGGCTGAGATCCAGAGGAGGTTTCCCGCCTCGATATTTGCAGTCAGCGTTCTGTTAGCGTGGGAGTTTCCGCACCTGTGGTAGAGAGAACACTAATTTGGGGGACAGAAACCTAATGAAGAAGACATGTGACTGGGTGGGAAGCACGAGGGTCAAGAATTTGGGGGTCCTGGCAGGGCTGTGCCCTGACCTGACCGGCCACTCCTCTTCTGTGAACCTTTACGGTTGGCTCATCTGTAAAAGGAGGTACAGCTAGAGCAGGAATAGTAAGAAGGTTTCCTTCCCAATTGATTGGTAGACGTGCCCAGAGCTCTTTCTCAAAGGATCCTACGTGCACCGGTTGAAAAAGCAGCCTGTGTGCCAAACACTTGTCATCTATATGTTAAGGGATTCTAAAGTCTCCTTCTAGAGCAGCGGTTCTCAACCTGTGGGTCGCGAGCCCTTTGGGGGGTCGAACGACCCTTTCACAGGGGTCGCCTAAGACCATCGGAAAACACATATTGTTTTTGTGATTAATCACTAGCTTTAATTATGTTCAGTTTGTAACAATGAAAATACATCCTGCATATCATATTTACATTATGATTCATAACAGTAGCAAAATTACAGTTATGAAGTAGCAACAAAAATAATTTTATGGTTGGGGGTCACCACAACACGAGGACCTGTATTAAAGGGTTGCGGCATGAGGAAGGTTGAGAACCACTGTTCTAGAGGAATCTGAGACTCTCTAAAACTCCGCTTCCTGAACTAGTTTGGACATCCACTTGCTGTATGACTTGCAAGTCACTTTATTGCAAAAGTTCTCTTGTGGTTTCAGATGTTGCAGCTGAGATGTGCTGTCTTGTGACATCAGCTTCATTAAGAAAGGGACCTTTTCATGAACCTGCCCCATTCGATATTGTAGGACTGATTCCTCTCAGATAACCACTGGGCTGCACAGAGAAAGAAAAGGCAAGCCTCTAAGAATGTTCTCAAGTCCGAGCTGGTCATTCCCTCCCTACCCTAATTCCAAGTTCATGACATAACTGGCAGGATAGAGTAATGGTTAAGAAGGAAGACTTGGAGCCAGGCTGCCTGGATTTATATCCCAGCTTTGCCACTTTCTAGCCGAGTGAGCTGAGCAAGTGACTTAACCTGTCTGTGCCTCAGTATTCTCATCTATAAAATGGGTATGGTTATACACCAAATTTATAGGGTGTTGTAAGGATTAAATTTGTTGTCTGTGGAAATTGCTTTGAACAGTGCTCTACACACAGTAAGCATTTGGTGGTGGTGGTGGTGATATAGCTGCCTAAGCTGTGGTAGAAAGGTCCTCTGAACCAGGTATTAGGACACTTGGTTTCTAGCCTTGACACTGCCCTTAACTGTGAGACCTTGAGCAAATCACTTTCCCTCCGGAGGTATCAGGCTTCCAGTTTGGACAATGGTAGTGAATGACCCCCTGCCTCACAGTGGAAAGTGGGTGCTCATGTGAAGGGTGGTACTGAATGGGTCCAGGTCACTGGAGGAGGCGCCCCAGGCAGGCCCTCTCTGAGCAATGACTGGGTCCCTTTCCTCCTTAGCACCCAAGTCCCCCGGGGAGAAGACTCGGTACGACACATCGCTGGGGCTGCTCACCAAGAAGTTCATTTACCTCCTGAGTGAGTCCAAGGATGGGGTCCTGGACTTGAACTGGGCTGCTGAGGTGCTGGATGTGCAGAAGCGGCGCATCTATGACATCACCAACGTGCTGGAGGGCATCCAGCTGATCCGCAAGAAGGCCAAGAACAACATCCAGTGGGTGTGAGTGCCTGGGCTGGGGCTGGGGGCACCAATGACTGCACGTGCTGGGGGCAGAGCCAGGAGCAATATCCAGTGGGTGTGAATGTCAGGGGTGGGGCTGAGAGCAGCGTCCAATGGGCACAAGCGGCAGGGGTGGGCCAAGAGCAATATCCAATAGGCTTATACGTTGGGGGCGGAGCCAGTGTATCTAAGAGCAGAGTGGAAGAACAGGTGTATATGCTGGAGCAATATTAGGAGTGCATGGCAGGCATAGGGTGGAGAGTGCTTTCTAGGATGTGTAAAGGCCCGGAGGACTGCATTCTCTTGAGTCAGGGATCCCAAGATTTCCCTCTTCTCGTTTAGGAAAGTCCCCAGGGACCTGAGAGTTAATAACCCAGACTCCTTCCAGCTCAGAGAGATGAGTACTCCAGGCTCCTCTCCTCACTGCTACAAGGTCTTGAAGAGCAGACCTGCAGCCCCTGGCATGAACCCTAAGAGAACCCAGGCAGGGGGGTCAGGACTGAGGTCATTCTAGCTCCCTGCCATATGGGGGAGGCTGGGGCAAGGGTGGATAGAGTTGAAAGCCCTCCACAAGTGAGGTAATGCCCTGACTTGTTACTTTTCCCTGCCTAGCCCAACCCTCAAACGTCACGGTTCAATTCCTAGCAGCTCCCTGGGAGCTAGACAGCACTGCTGGTTTGCACAACCCAGGAGCACCCTTGTAGACCATGAGAATGGCCTCATCCTGGGGATCTACACCATCTGCACATCTGCAGCTCTGCGCAGCAGTACTCAGGTTGGGGTCCCCGGTTGTGCACTAAGACTGACACTGGGGGGCTGCTCTGTTCCCAGGGGCAGGGGAGCACTTGAAGACCCCACCCGGCCTGGGAAGCAGCAGCAGCTGGGACAGGAGCTGAAGGAGCTGATGAGTATGGAGCAGGCCTTGGACCAGCTCATCCAGAGCTGCTCTCTGAACTTCAAGCACCTGACCGAGGACAAGGCCAACAAGAAATATCCTCTTTGGTTGGGAGAAGGTTGTCAGGGAGCTGGGCCTGTTGCAAGCTCTCATATCTATCCAGAGTTGATACAGTACCTCCCCTGGGGTCTGGCATATCTGCTTTTTCCTTTCTGGGTGGCTTTTCTTCTTGACTCTGTTGAAGTTATTTTCTCATAGTACAAGTAAGACAAGTATATTTCTTTAAATCTGCAAAATGGAGGAAAGAAATAACAGCCACCATAACATTTGTTCTTTAAGCATACAGTACATTTCTTTAAATCTGCAAAATGGAGGAAAGAAATAACAGCCACCATAACATTTGTTCTTTAAGCATACACAGACTGTGTATTATTTAAATACTAGAGGCCCGGTGCATGAAATTCATGCACTTGGGGGGGGGTGTCCCTCAGCCTGGCCTACACCCTTTCTCAGTCCGGGAGCCCTTGGGCGATGGAGAGCGGGCCTAAGCCATCAGTCGGACATCCTTAGCGCTACCACGGAGGCGGGAGAGGATCCCGCCACTGCCGTAGCGCTCATCAGCCACGAGCCCTGCTTCTGGTTGGTCAGTGCATGTCATAGCAACCGGTCATTCCGACTGTCGGTCAATTTGCATATTAGCCTTTTATTATATAGGATAGTGTGTGACTGCTGTGCATAACACTTTATATCCTGCTTTTCTCCCCTTAGTATACTACCATAGACAGTTTTCAGAGTTACAAATCCTTCCTATGTGGTAGATCCACATGAAATTGTTGATACTGAACCATTTTTTATCTACAAAAACAGCAATCTCATGTGGTTTAACCTCATATTTAAAATAGTTTGTTTGAGAATATCCTACTCAGATTACACTCTGGTTTGTTGATAAGGCCTAAAATCGACATTTAGATCTATTCTAGATTTCTGCTCCTATGAAGCAACAAAATGATGAATGCCTTTGTATATAGAACATTGTCCTATTTTTTTAAAACTTATTTCCCTAGGTCAGATTCCTAGGTTTGAAATGATGAGGTCACAGAGTATGGACTTTGCTAAGGCCTTTCATACATTCTCCCCAAATAGTTTCACCATCTAATTGGTTTTTGGATATGGCTTTGTATTTTTGGACAGATGCTAGGCATTGTGAAAATTTTAAATAAATAAGACATCTTCCTTACTGAAAATCAGCAAGACAGGATTATAAAAGGAAAAAAAGACATATCTTCCTGCCTTCTCTAGTTTGAGAGATGAAGCCTTTTATGTAAAACCTGATAAAAGGCAACATTTAAAAAAATGATTTATATCCTCATTTGCTTTCTAAAGGGATCCAAGGTAACTTATGATATTAAAAGAACAGGTTACAGTTTGGGGTTACTTCTGGGATTATAAAAGGAGTGAGAAAAAAATGTTCAGAGGCTTAGGAGAAGTGGATTGGATCCCTGCCTGTCGGGCTGGGTGTGAATTTTGACTTCCTTGACTCTCCTGCCCCCCACACTGGCCTATGTGACTTACCAGGACATCCGTGCTATCGGCACCTTTAAAGAGCAGACCGTGATCGCTGTCAAGGCCCCTCCGCAGACAAGACTGGAAGTGCCCGACAGGAATGAGGTGAGAGGGGAAGTACTTGGTGGCGAGCAGGGTGAGGAGGGTGCCGGGAAGCTCTGCAGTCTCTGTCCCAGGCACCGCTCAGCCCCAAGCTACCCCAGTCCATGCTGGTACCCACGGCAGGATCAGTGGTCTCTGAACTGGGGCAGAAATGACAGAAGCTGGAAAGGGCAACAGATTCTGGCCTGAGAAAAACCTGTTTCTGGTTTCTCTCTGCATCCCACCAGCCCCTGTGGTCCTGCACACATGCACGTGTGCCCACACACAGCAGCGTTAGTGCTCACAGTAATCCTTTCATGCTTTAAAAGGCCCTGGATTAAAGACCAAAATCATTATTTTTTTTTTAATTGATTTTAGAGAGAGAGGAAGAGAGAGGAAGGGAGAGAGAAACATCAATGAGAGAGAGAGAAACAATGATCTGCTGCCTCCTGCATGCCCCCATGTGCCCTGACCGAAATCGAACCAGTGACCTCTCAGTGCACTGATGATGCTCAACCAACTGAGCCAGGGGCAGGACCAAAATTCTTGACACTCCCCAGGAGGCCCTCTCTGCTCTGACGCTGCCAACCTCCTCTCGCATGCTGCTCCTCTTCTCTGTCTGCTTCAGCCACCCACCTGCCTGCAGTTTCCCCACCACGCTAAGCTCGTCCCCAGTGCAGGACCTTCACACATGCTGTTCCCTCCAGCTGAGATGCTCTTCCCTCTCTCTGCCTGGTTTACTGCTATTGATCCTACACGTCTCACCTGGAGCATCACTTCCACCAGGAAGCCTTCCCTGATCACCCCCAGACTTCATAACCAATATCTTGGTGTTTACATGCCTATGTTCTGCTTCGTCCATTAGAGTATAAACTCCACAAAAGTATGTTCCTCTCATGTGGGTTATTTCTGAGCTCTATAAGGAGTGAGAAACGTCCAACTCAGAGCCTGATAAGGGCTCAAGAAGTAATTTGTTTAATGGAAGAACTTTAAGATAAATAAGGCCCCGCCCACCGTCTCAGCGGAGCTCAGACCTAGAGGGGACAGACCCAAGCAAGCAGGGATGCTGTGACTTATAGATGGAAGATGTGCTTTGAGGGCCGGGAGAAAGGAGAGTTGGAGGATGCGCCCATCGGTGGTGACAGTTAAACTGGGTCCTAAAGAATGAATAGGATTTTTTTTTAAACATTAATATTTCAAGAAAACTATTTTAAATATGTTACATGCAATAAACATTAATGAATATTTCAAGAAAAAAGATTTTGAAAGGATTTTGTTTTTAAACTGTCTTATTTACTTACTTACATGTAGTTGTACACAATATTGTGTTAGTTTCAGGTGTACAATATAATGACTCGACAGTGGTATACCTTACAATGTGATCACCACACTAAGTTTATTAATCACCTGTCAAACTTATCTCAGTGTTATCGAGCAGGATGTTTGCCGGGTGAAGTAGGGCAAGGAGGGTACTGCAGGAATGGCGGGTGTGTAGTCAGCGGTGGCTTAGGCTGCCGGTATGTTGTGGACAAGAGGCAGGGGTGGGAAAGCCAAGCATCAGGACTCATGGTTACGGGGAACAGAAAGACAAGTCCAACTGGCTTCCGGGGGAGGGGAGAGGGGAGGTCAGTGACAGATCCAGGGGGAGTGTGGATTGCAGGCAAGGCTGGACCCAGGGGCTCCCATTATGACTCCAAGTTCCCCTCATGCTCCTCCTCTCACTGTGCCATTCTCTGTGCCGACTCAGTTCCCAGGTGGGCTCTCCCCTTGCAGCAGAGATAGTGTTCATGATACCAGCTCAGCAAGCCCCGTGCAAAGGGAGCTTCCATTTCCGGGTCCTGGCCTGATGCTGGGTGGACTGACCTGAGTCACGTGCCATCCTGCACAGTCACCGTCACTTTGCCTTTCTCATCCTGCATCCCAGGCTCGCCCATTGGAGCTGGGGCAGGTGCTGCCTCCCGCTCCCTACATGACGAGAGGGGAGGCAGAGTGATTTCCCAAAGGAAAATCCAGGCTTTCTCCCTAAAAGGAGAGGCCTGGGGGCCAGGCAGGCAGAAGCAGCAGATGTTGACCACAGGCCTCCGGGCCCAGCTCAGGAGTTGAGCTTGCTCACATGTGTCCATTCATATATGCTGACCCATGAGTAAGTGTGCAGCTGCCCAGAGCCATGACCTGGCTTCTCTTCCTCCTCCAGGAAAACCTGCAGATATATCTGAAGAGCACGCAGGGGCCCATCGAAGTCTACTTGTGCCCGGAGGAGATGCAGGAACCAGACAGCCCTGCCAAAGAGCCTGTCCCCTCCACGTCCACCCTCAGCCCCACTCCTGACTCTGCTCAGCCCTGCAGCAGCACCAACCCTGGGATCCTGGAACCCACGGCATCCCCAGGTAGGGCCCTCTGTCCAGGGGAACAGAAGGTGGGGAGTGCAGCTGGCCTCGGTTTCCTCTTCCACATCAACATTTGTTGGGTATCGACCTGCCACCCAGCGGCCGGGGTGTAGTCCTCCCGCACATGTGTGCATTCCCTGTCTCATTGGCAGGCTGAGCCTGCTTCAGGGAAGAGGGGCTTGGATTTGAATCCCAGCTCCTCCACTTACCAGCTATGTGACCTTGAACAAGTTATTTGACCTCTCTTTGCCTCAATCTCCTCATCTGTAAGTTGGGCTTAGTAATTAATAGTATCTACTTCATAGGTCGTCGTGAAAATTAAACGAGTTAATATATCTAAAGCACTTAGAGCTGTGCCTAGCAATAAAAGATGGCTGTTATTATCATTGTTACTGCCACTGCCACTAGTACTGCTGCTTCTATGACAGCTACTAACAGCAAAGCCCCCGGCACTCAATGAGCCCACAGTAAATGGAAACTATAGGTTTTACGAGGAAGGCTCAACACGTTCTTGGGCGAGAATCACTAAGGTTTATTGAACCACGACTGTACCAGATGCACCCATTCTTACATTATCCTCGCAGCAATTCTTGAGGTAGGTTTTATTATTCCCAGTTTAGAGATAATAAGCTGAGGCAGAGAGGAGTTGTGACTTGCCCCAGGTCTCCCAGCTGGGAGACAACAGAGCTGTGTCTTTGAACCTTAGCCTCCACATTCCTAGCCCAGTGCTGTCTCCACACGGCACAGAACAAATCAGGGCAGGGGGATCCTGGCTCAGCCCTGGCTGGGATGTGGACGGAACAGCGAACAGCTGGCTACACTTGGCAGGAAGTAGTAGGAGGCAGCTGCCAGGGAGTAAAGAGGTAGGAGAGGCCCCTGCGGGCTTCCCAGGGAGGGTGGGAGTCCGGAAGGAGTAGAAATGGGAACCTGTGAAGGCCCCGCCACTAGAAGGGTTTTTCCCTTTACTGGGATCAGGCATCAGTTCAGACTGGCAGGATTCTTCGAGGCCTTGTAGGCCAATGTTCCACTTTCTGTGTTCTTAGCAGCAGAATTTCCTTCAGTAGAACCCTGGTGTTTAAACAAATGCAGAGCTAGAACCGGTCTGATAGAAGAGGTGTGTTTGGGACGATCTACAGAACATAGATTGGATTCCATTTTTTTATTTAACTCAAGGATTGACAAACTATTGCCTGCAGGTCAAATGTAGCCTGTTTTTACATGGTTTGTGAGCTAAGAATGGTTTTCCTATTGTTAGAGAGTTGTAGGGGGGAAAGAAAGTGACTGTGACAGAGACCGTAAGTGTCCTGCAAAGCCTAACATACTACCAGCCCTTTACAGAAGCTTGCTGACCCCTGATCTAACGCAACCCTTCATTTTACATACAAGTAAAACTGAAGCCCAGAGAGGGCCAGTGACTTCCCTAAGGTCACACAGCACGTTGGTGGTAGAACTTGGGCAATAGCCCAGACTCCCAGCTCTACTCTAGTGATCTCTCCTGAGTCCTGGCCTGGCCCCGGGACCAGGGCTTCTCCCTGCACCAGCCATCTGTCCCTCCGGGCACCTCCCAGTGCCTATCTCCAACTCCAGACCTGTGCCCCACCCTGTGCTCCCTCCTGCCTCGTCTGCCTTCTCACTCCACTGTCAACAAGCGCACAGCCGTCCAAAGTGAAAACTACTTTCACTTCAGTTGTCCTCTGAGACCTTGGGCAGAGGTGGGGGACCCTCCGACATAAGCAAGGGCAAGGTTTTCAGCTCAGTTGTACAGCCTGAGGCCCGAAAGGAGCAGTGGGTGGTGAGGCCCGCCCAGAAGCCAGCTCTGGGCCAGGGCCAGGGCCCTCTCCACATTGGCCACGTGCCCTCTCAGTGTTATCCCTGCTGAAGGAGCAGGAGGAACTTCCAGGAGAGGGGATAGTGCGGAGAAGGAGGGTAGTTCCTGGAGCTGGTGCCGGGAAAGGCAGGGTGTCCCTGGGCCACGAGGCGTGGGGCAGGGTGGGAGAGAAGAGAAGCGTACACAGTCATCCGGAGAGCCGGAGGGCTGTTCTTATGCTCTGAGGTCTGACCAAGGGCTTCTGGGCCCGAGGGCCAGTCATAACCCTTGTCGATTTGTCTCCAGCGCCATCGCTGACCTCCCAGCAGGCCCTGCTGCCGCCACCGTCCCTGGTCCCTCTGGAGGCCACGGACAGCATGCTGGAGCTGCCGCAGCCCCTTCTGCAGCAGACCGAGGACCAGTTCCTGACCGACAGCTCCCCTCTCATCAGCTTCTCTCCGCCCTTGGACCAAGATGACTACCTATGGGGCCTGGATGGGGGTGAGGGCATCAGCGACCTCTTCGACTCCTATGACTTTGGGGACCTGCTGATTAACTGAGTGACCCCGCCTGCCCCCAGCCGCTCCGCCACTGTCTCTACCTCCTCACAGGCAGACTGACAGGCCCTCTGCCTGCACGGGGACCTTGGACGCAGATGCTACCCTTAGGGCACGGGGGTCTCCTCTCCTTCCTGCCCCCGCGTCCTGCCCGCCGAAGCTGCCGGGGGTTTGTGGAGGGTACGGGTGAGGATCGTATCGGGGTGGGGTCCTGTCCTTCCTAGTGGAAGCTGGGCCTGGGGAGGCCCGTTCAGTCGTCTGACCTCTGACCTCTAATGTGAAGGGGCCACAGATGAGGTGACCAGGTCCAGGGAAAGGCCCTGCCACTGCCTTCTGAGGGGTAATTCGGACCCTCAGTGTATCGCAGAGCACTTACTGCCTTTGTATTTATTTCAGGTTGAGTTTTGTTTGTGTGTCTTCCCTGGGTTTGAGCAGGGACATCGTTCTGGTTCCAGTAAGACCTCAGACAGGCCAGCACTGTCTGCTGTGCCCGGGCGCCTGGGCTCCCAGGGACCCAGGCCAGCTCCCTGGCCGCCCCGCCGCGTGGGGCGGGGCCCCTGAGCACCTGTCCAGGCTTCTGGACATCACTGCACTTCGGCTCCTAATTCTAGATGGTTTCCAGGGAGCCGTCCCAGCACAGGTGACACGAGCTCCCGAGGAAACCGGAATAGCCAGTTCAGGAGCCTCCCTCCCTGTGGATTCCCTATTTCCCTGCCTTAGAATGTAAAAGTGATCCTCGAGGGAGACAGCAGGGTGCTCCTGAGGAAGAGGGACAGGATGTGGGGGCAGCGCAGTGGCTGCTGCAGGCCCCTCCTCCGTTTGGGCCTCTCGCTGGGACCGGGAGGCAGAGGCCGCACGTGGAGAAGGGTGAGATGAAGACAGGGAACCGCCAGCACACACCCCTCTACTGCAGGTGTCCCTCTCCCTTCCCTGGAAGGATTTTGTTTTTTTGTTGTTTTTTTTCTGTTTGTTGAAGGGGTGATTCTTTAAGGATCCCCCTTCCCCCAGCTCTCACACAGACCCCCAGGGACAGAGGTGACCAGGGCTGATTCCTTTTGTCACAGGAATGCAGAAGGGGTGGTGGTGGGGGGGGGGTCTTCATTGCAACCAGACTTAGCAGCTAGTGGGGAGATGGGCTTGTGTTACCTCTTCAGACCTGGGGTTCTGAGGTCTTTATCCCTCACCCTGTCCCCCCACCCCACCTGGGCTAAACCGAGGCTGTGCCTTCTGGAGGGAGGCAGCAGGGGCAGTGGTCTGAGGCCTATACCCCCCACCCTCAGGGAGCTAGGTTTACTTAGGGTCTCAGATGGGTAGCACTTTGTTTTCTTTTAAGTTTGTAGCATTAAGTTGGTTTAAAATATGAATTTGGCTTCCAGGGATGGCTCCTGACCTGGCCGACGGGCATCTGAAGTTTGGGAGGTGGGCTTCTCTGGGGCTGGGGTCCCAGGTGAGCTGATGCCCAGCTGGGGACAGTTGTGCCTTGTCATTTGCAGGTCAGAGGTGCCCAGTTCTAGAATTTTGTAGGATTTACAGAAATGCTTTTGGCCTCCCCGCCTCCACAGGTCCGCTGGGCTCTCATCAGAAGCCTGTTTTGAAGCCCAGCGTGGCAGGGCCACCTTGGCCCTCGCGGGAGAAGGGCGAGCTGCACGGGATCTGGTTTGGGGCATGTGGGGCTGGCGGTGGCCTTGCTGTTCTGAGTTCTTTGCTGGGCTGCTGTTCAGCCACTCGCCATCTCTGAGGGCAGGGATGTTGGACTTCCCTGCCTTGGGCTCTATCTAGAGCTTTCTCCTAGAATTAAACCAGAGAAAAGGAAGGAGAGGCCTGGAGGACCCGCCAGGAATGAGTTTAAGGGTGAAATTTGGCCAGAACTCAGGCTCATTCTCCAGATGCCCAGCCATAGGGTTGGACAGAGGGGCTGCCCCTTGGGTGCATGGCCTGTATTCTGAGCAGCTGCCCTGCCCTCTCCTATGTTGTCCCCTGCCTGGCCCAGCGGCTGGCCCACCACGGCCAAGCCTCAGGCTCTGGGTAGGATACAAGTTTGAGCCTCTTTCTTACTAAAGACACTTGGAAACCTCCCAAGTTCACTCAAGTGCTTTCAGGACACATTTTGAGGAGTATTTCCTTGAGATGCCAGGTAAACTTTAAAACGAGGCCAGAAGAAAAACCAGGTTATTTTCTTTTTTTTTATATATATATTTTATTGATTTTTTTACAGAGAGGAGGGGAGAGGGATAGAGAGCTAGAAACATCGATGAGAGAGAAACATCGATCAGCCGCCTCCTGCACACTCCCCACTGGGGATGTGCCCGCAACCAAGGTACATGCCCTTGACCGGAATCGAACTTGGGACCCTTGAGTCCGCAGGCCGACGCTCCATCCACTGAGCCAAACCGGTCAGGGCAAAAACCAGGTTATTTCTAAGGTACGTTATTTCTGCCGGGAAGTTCCCCAGCCCCTAAGTCACCTGTGTCCCCGGGGCATCAGGGGCTCAGGGCTGCAGGGAACCCCGTCGTATTAGATTGTTGAGTAGAGTCAGAGACTCTAAGAGATTTCTTCACACAGGGACATGCTCCGTGCCCCTTCTCGCTGGAAGTGTTAGCTAGACCAAAGTGGTTTCCCTTCCCCACTGCAATGCTGTCTGCCCCCCGAGGCTGCGGGAGGAAGGGGGGCTGGTGAAGCTCTAACGCTGGCCCTGGGATGGTTTGGGCTTCATTTCCTCCCCACGTGTTCTCAGCATCAGTTCTGCACAGGGTTTAGAGTTTTTAGTGAGCGTTTGGATGTCCCCGCGTCCGAGCATCGTGTGGCTTAGTGCATTTGAAGTGAAAGCCTTTTGGGGTTGTTTGCAAGTAGCTTTCTGGTTCTCGTCATTATGTCCCGAGGTCCCCACCTCATTCTGGGACCCTGTTCTCCCAGGGGGGCCCTCAGTCACCAGAAGCCCGGCCAGCCTGGGTGAGGGAAGAAGCCTTGTATGCGCCACATGCATCTCGAGGGTGAGCACACTGAGGGGCCTGTTCTCGGTGCTGGGACCCTACGGGCCACTTCCCTCCCGCCTGGTTTCGCCCTGGGCCCCACTTTGATGAGGACCGTGTAAACCTCTGTGAATTGTGATCATCGAGCATTAAACAGCAACTCCAGGCGCCTTGGCTCTGTGGTGCTTTCTGAAGGTCGCTACCCGTGTGGGTCGGGTCCTCCCAAGTCGGGCGTGGGGACTGTTCTGACCAAGTGGCTGATTTCTCTCCAGACACAGCCTCCCGTTCCCACACTGGCTTATTCCCATGCCTGAAACCTCACCGTTAAGACCCTGAAAAGGTGGCAGCACCCAGATCTAAAAAGCGAGCACCTGCCCTGCTCTGCCTCCATCACCTCTCACCTGGACCATTTCAATAGCGTCCTTAATATCCTCTCTGCTACCCACCCCCTATCGCATCCTCCCTAGCAGTGTTTTTGTTTTGTTTTTTGTTAATCCTCACCCGAGGACATTTGTTCCATTGCTTTTTAGACAGAGTGGAAGGGAAGGGGACAGAAATAGAGAAACATTGATGTGAGAGAGAGACACTGATTGGGTGCCTCCTGCACACACCCCAGTTGGGGTCAGGGATTGAGCCTACAGCTGAGGTCTGTGCCCTTGACCAGAATCAAGCCCAGGATCCTTCAGTCCGTGGGCCGATGCTCAATCCACTGAGCCAAACCCACTAGGGCTAACAGTGGTTTTTACTTTATTTTTATTATTATTATTTTTTAAACTTAAAAAAATACATTTCCATTGATTTCAGAGAGGAAGGGAGAGACAGAAACATCAATGATGATAGAGAATCACCAATTGGCTGCCTCCTGCATGCCCCCCACTGGGGATCGAGCCCACAACCCACGCATGTGCCCTTGACTGGAATCCGGGGACCCTTCAGTCCACAGGCTGTCGTTCTATTCACTGAGCCGGACCGGCCAGGGCTAGCAGTGGTTTTTAAAGCGTGGTCCTCAGACCAGCGTCACCTGGGAGCTTATGAGAAATGCATATTCTCAGGCCCCATTCGAGACCCTCTGAAGAAGAAACTCGGGGTAGGACCCAGGACCTCATCTTAATAAGCCCCCCGGTGATTCTGATGCAGCCGAAGTTAGAGGAACACACCCTCTGGTACCCCGGACAGATCTTTCTAAAACACAGTTCCAGTTACACCGCTCCCCACTTAATGGTGGCTCCTCTCTGCCCTGAGGATGAAACCTCCCCCTTTGCTTGGCATGAGGGCCCATGTACAACCTTACCACTGGCTGACCCCATCTTTCCAGTTCCACTGCCACTCCTTCCCACCACCGGGCCACACCGAGCATCTTATTAGCACCTGAAAACAACCTGTTTTTTCTCTCCTGGGCCTTTACACCTGCTGGCACTCCGCTTGGCGTGTGCTTCTCTCCATTTCAGCTGAACAGGCTCTTGGTTATTCTTCAAGGTCCCATTGAAGAATCTTTTGTAGTTTTCCTTGACACTCACGTGTAAACTTAAATACTTTGTATATGGAAGGTTACTTATGCTAAGCACTGGGGAGATAGAAGGGAATAAGGTTAGTCCTCATCCTCAGGATGCTCACAGTACACAGACAAAAATATAATTACCAATGTGGCAGTTGCAGTATAAACATTATAGGAGTTGAGGGGTCATTAGGGAAGGCTTCCTGGAGGAGGTGATGTCCAAACTATGTCTTAACGGATAAACGGAGTAGCCTGGAGTTGGGCATACGGGGGATCAGAATCCTCCCAAGCAGAGCAATCAATAACTTCTGTCCTGTGGTCCAGCAGACAAAGGTGAGTATCATAGAGCACTGCTCGCTGCCCCAACTCTGCCAATTTGGAGCTCTTGCCCTAGAAAAGCCCACTGAGTCAAAGAGGTTGACACAGATCCTAAGGGCAGTGGGATGGGGGACAGGTCTGGGGGTCCTGTTTGACCATAGGGATTGACTAACGAGAAGGGTCTGGAACTTGACACCCAGAAGTCAGTTTACATGGAAGGCATGAAGACAATCCCTTCCAGGTAAGCAAAGCAAGGTCTAATTGGGGACATTAGCATAGACAAGGGAACATTAAAATAGGCCATTTATTAAGCCTTTTGGGTGGCTAGGCCCAGCACTGTGCTAAGTCCTTTACATATAATCTCATTTAATGTTCACTTAATGAAGTCAGTGCTGTTGCCACTTTATAGGTGAGGAAACACTATTTTAAATATGTTCCCAGGTAGCCCTCACGCTTTGCTGGTGGGAATGTAAAATGGTATAGCTATTTTGGAAAACAGTTTGGCAGTTCCTCAAAAAGATAAACATAAAACTCTCACAGGACCCAGTAATTCCATTCCTAGGTGTCTACTCAAGAGAAATGAGAACATGTCCATGCAAAGACAGGACTTGCACATGAGTGTTCATAGCAGCATTATTCATAATAGCCCTGAACTAGAAAGAGCTAAGTATCCATCAACTGGAGAACAGAGACAAATGTTAGATCCATGCAATGGAACTGTTCAGCCATAAAAAGTTACACTATGGATGCTCAAAAATGATATGCTAAGTGAAAGAAGCCAGTCCCCAAAGATAACATCCATTCCATCTGTATGAAGTCCAGAATAGGCAAATCTACATATAGACAAAAAACAATAAATTAGTAGTTGCCTGAGATTAGAGGTAGCAGTGAGATTAACTATAAATGGGCATGAGGGCTCTACTGCATAGAGATACGAAATTTTTCAAAAAACACTAGCAAACCAAATCCAGCCACATAAATAAAAAGAATTAGTCCCTAGGGCATTTATCCCAGGAATGTAAAGTTGGTTTAAAATCTGAAAACTAGTTAATGCAAAGAACCATATCAATAGAATAAAGGATGAACCACATGGTTGTCTCAATAGATGCAGAAAAAAATATTTAACAAAAATCAACACTCCTTTGTGATAAAACAAAACAACAACAACCCTCAACATGATAAAGAGCATCTATGAAAAACCCACAGCTAGCATCATACTTAATTGTGAGATCCCAAATACTCCCCCCCCGCCCCCCCAGA